GGAGTGGTTTGGTACGTTTTTCGACGTATTTAATTTTTGTGACAGTGCATGTAATTGATTTAATGTAAGTTCATTGGTGTACACATCGACCTCGTATGCTTTTTATATCATTTGATTATTTTTTCGACTGGTAAATGTGAATAATAAATAAAATTGACCTCGTGCTGAACGAGAGGGTTTATTTCTTCCAAACCGCGCGGGAAGATATTGGTTATAACTGCTAAGTGTCAGAAGTTTAGTGGTAGTAATTTTTTTATTTAAAAGAATTAAAGATGTCTCATACACTGTCTACTTAGTCCAGTAGTATTGATAATATGTAGTTAAAACTTAATTTGTCCTAACCTGTCCTTCAATGTTTTCTTTTCAATTATAACCTTGCCATGTTATTAGTGTTTTCCTTTAATATCTGGATAAATTGAACATAATATTTTGGTGAAGTTGTTACTATGTTAAATTTTACTTCTATTGGAACTGTAGTTGTGAATTAATGTTGCATGAAATTCAAAGCTGATTGAAAATTGATTACAGAACTTAACTAACTGTTGATTTGTTTATATACTTCAGTAGAAGTTTTGTATGTTCCCAATCACGAAAGGTGGTGAATCTAAAGCTAATTATTAAACAGCTAGTAGAGGTTTCTTTTATTTTATTCATAATTTTGTGCTTACTTAGACACCTTTAGGTCATGTGTATTGTCAGTTGTCCAGTGTTCATTGATGTTACTAAAGTTTATACTTTTATCACTGAAAGACAATTATTATCTAGTTGTCTTTCCTTTTATAATATTCGTACCATTTGTTGGTGAATTAACAGTCAGCGATATGAAATTGGATTGACTCAGAGATTTATTATTTTTTTGAGAATTTTCGTATAATGACCCATTATTTTCCTTTTCTAGGTGACGCTTGTGGCGTCCAATGGTCTGTGTGTGAATGTGGATATGAGAAACATTGATACTACATAAATCTTTTTGCTGCTGTGTGATTGCTGTGTAAGTATTATTTTTAGTCTATCCTGCTGTTAAACTTATATTCTTACATTGTGGTTCGTAAAATTTGTCATCTTTATGTGAAGGTATATTCACAGTTTATTTTAAAATACAATTTATTTATTAAAACGCAGCATTTTTGTGAACGTACTATTTCAGGCCAAAAATTGGATTTACATAAAATTGATTAGAAGATTCTAAACATACCTGTAAAGAATTCATGGTTATAGCATTATTGGTCTCTTGGACCTACTGCTTTTAAATTTTTAACCATTTTAATTTATTATTAATTTTTTTGTTTTAACTTTAGTTTTAATTTTGTGTCCTTCATAATCCAAAATTTTTTTTAAAAAAAGAACTAAACTAGTTCATGGATTCTAGATTTATATCTTAAATATTTTTTATTTAAATTACCTATAGCAACTACTGAACAATCTTTTCTTCTTTTTCTAGTTACATTACTTTAAATATGTAAATAGATAATTCAAATATCTATGAAGGGATTAAATAAATGGTTAAATAATCATTAATCTTTAAATGTTTTCAGGTTTATTAATTAGTTGTTGAGGGTGGTTGAAGCCATTGTAGTTTAATTTTTTAAGTTTCTGGAAACTAATTTCCAGTTGTTTGTTTTTTCCCTTGACGACAATAGATTCAAAGAAATATATTTGTTAACAATGTTCCTTGAAAATTTATTTAAACCACTTCTTGTTTTATGGAAATAAGATGGAGTTTTGTAAAGCATGATTTGATTTCATTTACATAAGAAGCATCTATTTAAAATTCATGGTATATTGAAACTAGTTGATTCTTACTTTAATACATTTATTAATAATAGTTATTTCTTCTGGTGCTAAATTATATTATATATATATATATATATATATATATTTTTTCTTTTTATTGTCATACATATTTATAAGTATGTATTGTTAGTTCTGTGAAACAAGTCTTAAGTTAGGTTAAATCATGTGTATACCTCACAACATTATCCATCAAACAAGAGCTTCATTTATGTTGGTAGCATTCACCTACCTGGTACAAAAGCAGTTATTATTATTGTTATTAAGTGAAAGCCATAGTCGTTTTCTATTAATTATATGAATGTATAATATAACATTATAAGTAACGATACATTTTTTAACTAATCATGTTCATAAAATTATAGTCAAGTCTACAATAAAAAAACTTCTTCTGCAAACAAAGAAAAACAGTGTTAAGCTGGAAAATAAAAATTGTAAATTGTAAACTTTAAGCATCTTTATATATTATTGCTCAAATGTGTTTTTTTTTTTGTGCTATATCTTCATTAATATTTTATCAAATCGAATGATACTGCAAATATTTTGAAGATTCTCTTCTCCCTCAGTGCTAAAGAATAAGCCAATTGACCAGATAATGATTGACTAGCTGAAAAAAAGTAATGAAGAAAAAAAAATTTTATTTGTGCATAACTCAAAAAGTATCTACTTTATGGTTGATTATACCTAATGGTTTGAAAAGTTTATAAATATCTTATCAAACAAAAAACGAAAAAATGGACCATTAATCCTGACTGACCAAATTTCAAAATTTGCCAAGTTAATTATCAGGAACTTTTGATTTGGATTTCTTGAGCAATTATTGATCAAATAATCTCATGTGTAGACTAATATGAGAAAAAATGAAATATAAGGTATGGTTTCAGAAGTTATAGTTTCAGAACAGTTTACAATTAGATTGACCTCCAAAAATTAGGTATTTTGTGGCAGGTAGTGTGAAAAAAATGTAAATAAGTAACCAACATATGTATATATGCTTATATGTACTTGGTCATTCAAAATATATTAAAAACACAGGAATATTGTAAGCGAACATTTGTTGCTAAAATAAAATAATACAGAAAAATAAAATTGAATCTATCTTGTAAGCAAAATCATTGCCATAAAAAAAATTATTTACATTGTTATTTAAAGAATATTTAACTATTTGAACATAATTATTGTACAAAAAAAAAAATTGAAAATGATAGTAATCTATACACAAAATGAACATTGAAACAAACATACTGAGGAATTTATTCTAAATTAGTTAAAATGCTTTGCAGTTGATTAATAACTCAATAAATAAAATTGTTAAGAAATAAAGTCTTATAATATACACAATCAAAAAACAATACATATCAAAAATACGATTCTGAATGAATAAACTTAGCCTTTGAAGCCAACAGATTTAAGGGGTACTTCAATTTTAATGTTTAGGATTCAGAAATTCATAATTGGCACAATAATTCTCACCTAAAATACCTAATTCATAACAGTGAAACCTCATTTTTTTTTTTGTATAGGAAAATAATCAGAAGCTATTAAATTAAAAATCTGGTGTGGTGTTTGTATCACACAACTTTCACTTAACACCCTCTTTGCAGAAATAAGTATTTTCAGACAAAGGAGAAGTGAAAGTTAAAATTATAGACACTATATTTACTTATATTTCATTGTGGGTATTTTTGTTTGTTTAAGTACCCTTATATAAATAGATATATAGATAGAAACGTTTATTTGTTTATAAAGTACATATCACCATTTTTTTTATTGGCAATTAATTTATGTTCATCTGTCGGGGTAGTACCTTTATATATACAAATTTTAATATTTATATCGCTGTAATCTATACAATCAATATAAATAATTCCAACGATAGCATTTATGAAACCCGCATATGTTTATGTATATAATATTGTTGGATTCCATATTATATGAAGCTCATATCATGAAGGGAAGCCTGTTCTAATCTTTCGGGTGCTCTTACTTCTTTGGTTTTTCCATTACAACTATTTTTCATTACAATCTCTTATTTCTTCTTTAGTTAATTGTCAAATTCTTTCATATTTTATATTTAACTATTTTTTATATCTGAGATCAATGTTAAATGGTTAATTGTTTCAAATTAAAGATAATTTAGGGGAAGCTAATATTGAAAATTAGCCATTTTAAGCCCGCTCTGTAAGAGAACATCAATGAAAATAAAACCTATATTATATTAAAAACTGCTTAATTTTACAACCATATACTGAATTTAATCAAAATCGTTGGAGCCGTTTTCAAGAAAATTATAAAAATATGTTAAGTCGATGGAATAAGGTGCCACTTCCGGTTAGCAGATTTTGAAAAAAAAGTTATTGTATCATCCCAGCCATATAAAAACCTTAATTATGCAATTTAACTGTTGTACGACTTTTCGTTTTTGGGCTAGACTAGACACTATTTTAAGCTGGACTAATTAATAAATTTGGTCAAAAATCTTGTTTCAACATAAATAAATAAATGTTCAAAATACTAACTTAAAGTGTAGTCTTCGATCTTCGATGTATCATTACAGGTATCAGAGCTATTATTATTTTTGTAAATTATTAACATTTACTTTATGCCAGGAACAATAATCCAAGGTTTTTCAAAATTGTTCTAAGTATTGAGCCTTCAAGTTGACTAGGCTAAATTTATAAAATTAGACAAAGTAGGTTATGCTGGAATAAATAATTTTATCATTGTATCAAGGCGATTGATTAATGGTTATTAATAATAATTAATAATCATTGTTAATGGTTATTTTTAATAGTTTAATGTTAAATGTTAATAGTCAATTAAAATGGATTTATGAAGTTATTGCTCTAAATTCAGAAAAAAGTCATTTGAATAGTATTCAGTTGCGAACGGTACAATTAAAATGGATTTATGAAGTTATTCTCTAAATTCAGAAAAAAGTCATTTGAATAGTATTCAGTTGCGAACTGAATGCCCAGTGGTCAACCACCAAGATGTTGATGAGAAAATTGTGTTGAATATGTGTGTTCATTAAGCCGGTTGAAGCTATTTGAGAAGGCAGTGCCTTTTAGTTTTATTTGATCAAACTAATGACATCACTAATCCTTATGTTACAATTAATCAATGTTACAATGTTAATGGTTATTTTTAATAGTTTAATGTTGAATGTTAATAGTCAATTGTTTTTTCATAGGTGATTGTGTGTAAGAATGGCGACGTTATCAGAGCAAGCATCAAAACTATTGGACTTCAATCAGAAGTTGGATATCAACTTGCTGGATAATATTGTAGGATGTATGTATACTGGAATGGGAGAGCAGGTAATTAACTTCTGTATTGATTAATAAACCTAAAAGTTTTATATATTTATAGAAAAATTGGACATTGTGGTTGTGGGTTCGATATGCCAATAGAGGTCATGTTGGCCGAGCATGTTATAGAGTAAACTTAAACATTCTCGAGTTTAACAATGCCAGTTCGAATCCAGGCTTGGGAAGGAGAGGGAAGAGGTTATTTATTTATTTTTTATTTTGTTTTCTGACAGATTCACAGATCGAATCTTGACCATCTTTCTCTAGTTAAAATAGGTTTGGTTGTACCCCTAAAATTTATTTATTTTTAAATTTCCTGCATAAATGGAGATAGGCTTCAAATAAGGCCTAATGTATGCCACTCTATACTCTTTTAAAACAGGCCAATAATCTTTGCAAATTTGATTTAAATTTATAAATTTAAAGCATTAGATCAATAATGCTCCTGTCCACAATGGAAGTACTCCATTCTAGCTAAACTACATCATATAATATATGATAGGTCTATTTGTTCTCAGTACAACAAAACCTGCAAATTGGTGATTCAGTCAACCCCAAATTGAAGAGGTGTTTATTCTGCCGATTGTAGCTAATATGCAATGCAATATACTAAAAGTGCTCTATGCTAGTAGTAGAAGTATTGCAGTTCTCTTTGTGCAAAGTTCTTCTCTCGGAGCATCTTGAGATATGTATTTTCGATTGTTTTTCAAAAGAACCTAGTATTTTTCATATCTGAGGCTGATGCTAAAGTTGCTAAAGGAAAGTACTTGCTCTAAACCTTTCCGTTTTCGTAATTTCTTGAATGCGTCGGTTTCCACGTTCCAGGGAGAATGTTTTAATTGCTTTTACATTCATCCATTAGCTTGAACCAGGTTGCTTAGCCCCAAAGATCACCAGTTGCCGTTGTCTATCCATAAATATTGAAATTAGCATGTTCCTTAATTTATCTTCTATTATCGTCTGGGCATAGACATTTATCACTAAAGGTGGGCTTACACCAGAGGCAACTTAGCTAATAATACGAGTAATTGACATGTCAATATAATATTAGATTTTGTTTATTTAGTAGTTAGTAGCATAAAGTGTCATTCACATGTTAACAAGCATTTTTCCTGGTTTAGTTCTGTATAATGACAACAACTTTTGGAAATTACATTTCTTACATTTCATATAATATCTGATTCTCTGATTCATTTATAGCTTTGTTAATAACATTTCCAGTAATATCGTCATTAACATAAGTTTTGATTTATTTCTGCATAGTTTTTAAAAGTATGTACTTTATTATGGATTCTATACAATCATTTTAGAGGTGATGAAATTTGATACAAAGTTTAGTACAAGATCCGGAAGCTAAAAATGTTACATATTTCCTTTCTATTCTCAATATTTCTAGAGTATCTTTTATAGTAAACAGTATCATGAAAAGCGCAGTCAAAGATCAGCAAAGATACCCTTTATAGTCTCGTCTTACGGTAAATTTTTCTTTTGTCCTGGACCAAGTGGTAGTGCATTGCTGTGTCATTAGATGGCCTGTCCGTTAAGCAAAGTGAGCTCAGTGAAGCTAGTCTTATGATCCCAGGCTTTACTTCAGCAGAAGACCTGGGTTCAGTGAGCTGCTCAGTCTCAATAGACAGATATATCCACAAGGAAGAATCACCACCCTACGACTCCCAGCAGCAAAAGTTAAATTTCTCGCATCTGCCTTCTTTGCCAGACGCTCAGAGCTCCCTGGTAAGGATTTTGTGCTTTTCTTGCTGTTCTCTTGTTCCTAACAGCTGGAGTTATAGGTGCTAGAAACCTGATGATATCCTCACGTCATGTTACTGCCTTCTTCATTAATCAAAGTTTGTACGTGTGTCTATTTTTTTTTTTTTTTTTTTTTGCTATAATTTCTTTATTGAGTATTATAACAATCTGTCTGTTCGACATTGGTTATAGTGAGGTAGGATGACATTCACACCATATGTACAAAAAAATAAAATAAATAGAACAAAATAATAATCAAAAGTATATACAATAGACAATAAAATAAAATAACCTAAAAAATAAGAAAATTAAAACTAAGGAAAAAAAAAAAATAACATGCATACCTATATACAATCAGGCGAGGGAACTCCAGGAGAACCCTGCGCTACTCTTCCAACCGCGTCACTGGTACTAAAGCCAGCGGAGATTGGTCGAGAGCACTTTAGCCACATACACACATGTCTTGAGTGAAGAATCTGGCCATTGCCAGAACTCCAATTTATATAATTTACAAAAGGTCGCGAGGCCACTGCCGTTTCAACCTTCTTGGAGGATTATAGGGATGGGAGATGCTTGATAGGGATTGTGCAAGAGGATTTGGGTGGTAAGTAAGTTCTGGTGAAATTTGGAGAACTTTTCTGGGATAAGGTCTAGGACAAATGGGATGTTAAGGTCATGATGTAGGGTTTTGTTGGATACATAGAAAGGAGCATCGACTATTGTTCGAAGGACTTTAGACTGGAAGGATTGGATGCGCTTGATGTTAGAAAATTTTGCTGATCCCCACAGTTCTAGTCCGTAAGTCCAAATAGGTTTCAGTATTGTCTTGTAGATCAGTAGCTTGTTTTCAATGGAAAGTTTAGATTTTCTGCTTAGTAGTCGGTATAGTTGGCCGTATCGTCGGTTGAGTTCTTGTCTTTTGAGTCTAGTATGCGGGTTCCAAGTTAGTCTTCGGTCTAAATGAAAGCCAAGATACCGGACTGTGTCTGAATAAGGAAGCTGGATGGAATTAAAGAGTACTGGTGGACAGGAATTGCGTCGGAGTGTAAAAGTAATGTGTTGGCATTTAGATTCATTAACTTTAATGCGCCAGTTATTACACCAGTGCTCAATCAAGGTGAGATGACTTTGGAGATTTAAGGATGCTATTTCGGGATCAGAGTTGGATGATAAGATTGCGGTGTCGTCAGCGAATGTTGCAAGAAAAGTATCGGGATGAACAGGGATGTCAGCAGTAAAGAGGATGTAAAGCACGGGACCCAAGACGCTGCCTTGGGGAACACCGGCTTTAACGGAGTAGATATTGGAAAATTCTGTTCCACAGCGAACTCGAAATGAGCGGTCAGAGAGGTAGGATCGGAGGACTAGGTACAAGGACTGAGGTAAATGGATTTTAAGCTTGGAGAGCAGTCCGGAGTGCCATACCCGGTCAAATGCCTGTGCAATGTCCAGAAAGGCACCCGAACAGTATTCCTTGTTTTCTAGGGCTGAGGAAATATGATCAACGACTCGGAGTCCTTGTTGAACAGTAGAATGTTGAGAGCGAAAACCAAACTGATGGGAAGGGATATTTTGGGATTCTATAATGGGTAGGATTCGTTTCAAAAGGATCTTTTCAAAAATTTTTGAAAGGATTGGGAGTAGGCTGATTGGTCTATAGGATGTTGAGCTATTGAGAGGTTTTCCTGGTTTTGGGAAAAGGATAATAGTGGAGTGTTTCCATAACAGAGGGAAGTGGGTGGTGCGTAGGATACAATTGTAGATATATGTAAGGAATATGACTGCTTTGGATGGAAGTTGTCGAAGGATTTGAGGTGTAAGGAGATCATGTCCAGGAGCTTTACGGAGGATTAGTTTTTTTAATTGAAATTTTACTTCGGAAGGATGAATAGCTTTTGGGGGCAAGGAAAGTGGGATTGGTGATGTAAGGAGTTCTTCTATTGTTACGGTGTGGGCAGGATGGGATTCCGGATGTGAAATAAATGTATTGGATAGGTGAATGGCGAACTCCTCAGCTTTATCTTCGTCAGATGCTGCCCAGGAGCCATCACCTCGTCGGAGAGGATGGGAAATGCGGTGAGGATTTAGGATTTTTGTTGTGGTTTTCCAAAGGGAATTGTCGCGAGAAGAGAGGGAGGATAGGTAGGAGTTGAAGGATTGTGATCTGAAGGTGGCTAATTCCAGTTTTAATTGTTTGCAGTAGTAATTATAGGAGCAGCGGTCGGTAGGATGTCGGGATCGTTGCCATAATAATCTGGCACGGCGTTTGGTGCGGATTAGGTTAAGGAGGTGTTGGGGTAGAATGGTCTTTATAGGAATTCTGGAGGAGTCTTTTGGAAAGGAGGCAGTCCAGGCGGCTTGTTGGATTTGTACGTGTGTCTAAATTATTAATTGATTGTCGGTTTATTTTTATTTTTGCCCCCGGGAGTATTGGAGTACTAAAAGGTGAATGCAGGTGCTAACACCTCTCTCTACAGCAGAAGACAATTTTATACAATGAGGTTTGCCTAGTACACCAAATGGATTGAATAGACTTCATTTTTATACACCTCCTGCCAGTGAGCTGAAGCCCGAGCTTCCCTCATTTGGCTTAGATGTTTGAGTGGTCCAAACCGATTATCAATTTGGTAATTGTGAAGGAACTCCCACCTCTGTCCTGTGAGTCTTATTGGACTCCCAGTGAGGCACCAAAAGGAGATGACAGTAGGTATTTACAGAGATGGGGAAGATTGAGAATTCCCAAACAGTGGGTAGGGGACTAAAGCTTGATGATTATGCCAAAAGTAGAGGAGAATCCTGCTTCCCTCTCTAACCCTTCTTTTATCTTTCCTATTTCGTCCCCTTATTATTAATATAATATGGCAATCACTCTTTTGATTTTTACATTTTCACAATTGGGGAATATATTTTAACTCTCTATTAATGTTTTATTTTGATTCTATTTTTATGTTATTTTTTGAGCAATGATGGAAAGTAATATGGCTTTATAAAAAATTGAAAGTTACCATATTACATTTTTTCCTTTTTCATATTATTTTTTAAAACTCAAATTTAGTGATAGAAGATGAGTAGAGTGTTTGTTTAACAATTGCTAATTTTCATAGTTTTGTTTAAAAGTTGTATAAAATAATGAATTAATAATAATTTACTACTTCACAAACAAATAAAGTTACCTCTATGTTTTACAGCAAAGGATTGCTCAAGATGTGTTGACAACCCTTAAAGAACATCCTGATGCTTGGACGAGAGTAGATGCTATTCTTGAATTTTCAACGAATCAGCAGACCAAGTATTATGCTCTACAAATTTTGGAGCAAGTTATCAAAACAAGGTGGAAAATCCTTCCACGAAATCAGTGTGAAGGCAAGTACACACACGTATTTTATGTCCATTGGAAGGGCTGTGGCAATTCTCATTAGGCTTCTTTGAAATGTCAAGTTCTGGGCAGATTGAAATTTTTGCTTGTGTCTTGTTAAACTTAATTTAAATAATAAACTATTGTATTGATTTTAAAATTATACAATATATTTTTCCCTAGGTATTAAGAAGTATATCGTAGGATTAATTATTAAAACATCATCAGATCCTGAATTGATGGAACGTGAAAAAGTTTATTTAAATAAATTGAATATGATTCTTGTGCAGGTAAGATACCAATCATTATTGTTAGCACATCATTAATTTTCTTATTAATTTATTAAAAAAAATTATGATAAATAAAGGTATAATGAAAATCGATGTATGATTTGATATTTCATATTTCTAGCTTCGTGTTGTTTAATGATGACTGATTATATTGTAGGTTTTAAAACGCGAATGGCCAAAAAACTGGCAATCCTTCATTCCAGATATTGTGGGTGCCAGTAAAACAAATGAGAGCCTTTGCCAAAACAATATGATAATTTTAAAACTTTTAAGTGAGGAAGTATTCGATTTTTCTACGGGTCAACTTACTCAAACTAAAGGCAAACATCTTAAAGATTCAATGTGTCAAGAATTCTCTCAAATATTCTATCTCTGCCAATTTGTTCTTGTAAGTTTTAATTTTATAATCATAATTTGATATTTGTGTATTACTTAATTTAATTAATCATTTACATATTATAGGATAATTCACAAAATGCTCCTCTTGTGGGTGCAACATTGGAAACGCTATTGAGGTTTCTAAATTGGATTCCTTTAGGATATATTTTTGAAACAAAACTAATTCAAACTCTCATCATGAAAGTGAGTATTTCTTTATGTTTGCCATATTACAATTTATTATTATAAGAAGTATATATATGCTATGCAGGTGTTTGTTTGTTATTTTTGCCATATTACAATTTATTATTATAAGAAGTATATATATGCTATGCAGGTGTTTGTTTGTGCTAAATTAAAATTAGTTTATTGAATAGAATTATTATATAAATTGTTCTGCTTCTTTGCTGTTAACTATCTGTTGAGAATATCTTGTACTATCATATTTATTTCATTATTGATTATTCCAGAAGTTATTTGGATATAACTTTCCTTTTTCTGCCATAGATGTTCATTTTAATATATATCAAATCTTTAACATTCATATTATTTATATCAATACAAGTGTATATTAAATTTATTAAACAATATTTTTCTATTTATATTGATAGACGTACTTCCAAAAGGAATTGAGGTAGCTTTAATTAGTACTGGGCTATCTTCTGATACCAAACAAAGCATGGCTAATATTTTTTTACATAAATAAAACTAATTTACTATTTCAAACTTGTATTGACTTAGTATTTGTTCAAGTATTCATCCTTGTAAAAGTTTAAATAACATGAAAAATTGTTATCTACACTGTTAAAATATTTTATTTTTTTATTTTGTAGTTTTTGAATGTCCCGATGTTCAGGAATGTTACATTGAATTGTCTAACTGAAATCGCGGGATTAGTGAATGTATCTAATTATGATGCGATGTTCATAACTCTTTTTACTGAGACAATGACGAAACTTCAAGAAGTGAGATATTATTTTATTACTTAATCTCCTACTAATTAATTGGATTGTATGAAAAAGAAATTGTATTGATATTTATTATTACAGATGCTTCCATCATCAACTAATATTCGGGAAGCTTATGCAGTTGGACGAGATCAAGACCAGAATTTTATCCAAAATCTTGCAATGTTTCTTTGTACCTTTTTAAAAGATCATGGCAGTCTTGTTGAGAAAAAGGAGTTCAATAATGTTCTTTTAACAGTAAGTTAATTATTATGTTGTTCAATTGAATTTTTTTTTCATTAATTTGTTTTTATTTTCCCTATACTCATTTATAAAGTTATTATTATTACGATATTATTTACCACTGATATCCTTGTCCATCCTGATACCTTCCTGCCAACATTTGCTGATGACATCGCCATCCTATCATTCAACTCAGGTCCAGAAATAGCATCCTTAGCATAGTATATTGTCTACAAAGGCACCTCTTCCTGATTTATCCACTAGTGTAATAAATGGCGCATTAAAGCGTATGAAACTAAATGCAATCATATTACCTTTGCACTCTGATGCAGATCCTGTTACCATTCCACTTTAATTCCATCCAGCTTCCTTTTTGGACACAGTGGGAGAGACTGGGTATGGTTGTCACAATTTTCATCTAACTTTACATAATTTTTTTCTTCTTTGGTGCTACAATCCACATGGGCTCAAGGCATCCTGTAACAGCAGTCGCTTCTTGCGTCAGCTGCTACGTCATCAGCCCAATGCAATTTGGGTCTTCCAATTGGCCTTCTTCCGAATAGCTGTTCAATGAGGAGCTTCTTAGGAATTTGGCTATCAGGCACATGGCCTGCCAAGCGGATTCTACGTATCTTAATAAATCTGACCTTGTAACTCTCCTGTAAAACTTCCTGCGGTTCTAATAATTTTGTAAAAATACTAATTAACTGGAAGAAAATTGATTTTTATAGTAAAATGTTCTTTTGTATACAGAATTTGAGGAGTTGTAATTTTTATACAATTCTAAACAATTTTATTACACTAAAATTAAATTAGCGATCTTGTAATTTTTATAACATTAAATTTGCTATTATAATTAGTTAATCAATATATAATTTGATGAGAAAGAGTAAATTTGTTTAGTTACTTTACAAAAATATCTGGTTCGCTCACACAACTTTCCTACTAAATTTATACTATTTTAATTATATCAATTTAAAATAAAAAATAATTGAACTAGATTAATAATTTTATTGAAAACCGCTCAAAGAAATGATAAGAGTAATTGTGATTTCTTTGTTAAACTAAAACAATGTAAACCGGCAAGTGAACCATCATAAACATCTGCTTTAAAATTCAGCACACAGTAACTTTCCTAAAGCTGATCGGATTTGTTTCTTACTGCGCTGGCAGCGACCAATTAGTTTCACAAGTATCAGTAATCATCAAAACCTTATAAAACAAAAAAAGAAGCATCAAAATCGGTCCACTCGTTCCCGGGATATTCTTGGCAGACATACCAATGGATGAAAGTATGTTTTTCAGACTCATAGGGCTCTGAAATGTATCGATCCATTGAAAATCTCACACCCGATCGCAATACTTTCCTTCCTAGTAGCGGAAGGAAGGAAAGTAAAAATTTAATCTTTCATTGTTTTGTATTAATAGCTTCTATAAAATTATTTATAAGTTCAAGTCTATTTATTAGTGTATATACAAGGGCTCCAGCCAGGATTTTATTTTAAAATATAATTTATATTGTAAATTATTATTAACAATAATCATTGAGTTGTATTTCTTAATCAAAACGACATGGACAACCTGTGATTTGGTGATCTGAATAGGGAGTACTAAAAATCAATATAATTTATATGAAATTTAAATGTTTGTGTATTTTTTGTTTTGATCAATAATACAGCTTACGGATTCGGGCTGACTAATTGCAAGTAATAATAAAAAATATTAGCATGTATCTGTCAAAGCCTCTTGATACCAATCTTAGCATAGTTTCCTGTTGTCTCACTTTAATATTCAGATTAACTTTATTTTTTTGTAAAATCTCCAAAATTTTTTGCTTTTCAGGCAGATTTAATAAACAGCAACAATAAATTTAACAGCATTAATTATTATTTTTGATATTTTAAAATTATAATTATTTTAAATTATATGTGAAATAAATTCACAGACACTATGAATCACTTAATATCAAAACAATGTAACCTAAAAGCCAGCCTTACGTATTGAGTATATTATTGAATTAATGATATCAAAGCAATATTATTAATGGTATATATATATTACAAGAGTTAATATAATTATTATAATATAACCCTCAGAAGATCAATATATTTATCAAATTCAATACTGAATCAATAATATTGACTGTGTGAGGGAGGTCCCTGATAAGGCACTAACTTTCTTCACAAAGAACCTTCCTTCTAAATATCTAATTTTAAACAACAGCCTGTTGCACTAATCCTGACTATAGACTCGACAGATTTGGTTCGATCAACTAGTGAATATAGACCGACTCGTATATGAAATCTCTCTTACAGGTTGTGTATCATGTCTTGATCTCCATTTTCCAAGAAGAAAGTAACTGGGTGTTTACGAGGTTTTAGTACGTAATTTAATAGACAAAGTTTGCTCTCCTCCAGATTGAAAGCACCTCAATTCCAATAGTTTTCGTAAATAAAAAGTTGTAAGTTACGATGAGATGAAACTATTTACGAAGTTTCAAGCTGATGTTAATGATTCGATACAAAGGGGAAGGGGTCTTTACCATGGACTATAAGCCCAACGATAATTTGAGTCTTTTATTCCTAGCATTTTCATTGTACGTTATATTGTGCTTTTCTATTTAATAATAATTATAATTATATCACAAATAATATTATATACAATATAATAATTAATATATTGTATTCAAAGGAAAATATCTAAATCGAAAAATAACTGCTGTCACCTAAGTAGAATCAAACTACTGCCGCCAGATGGATACCATTTACCATAAATTTTTTTAGTCTAAAATCTTTAGTAACAGGAATTCAACATGTATATAATTAAATGAACAGCTGTCTAGTTTGTGAAATAATCATCAAGTCGGACTTCTGTTATTTCCAACCTTCCTAATACTAAAATATGGAAGTCACTGAAATACTAGAAACATATAATAAAGAGATGTACGTACCCACCTTCAACTGTTTCATATATAAATTTATAATTCTTATAATGTTAAATATATCTTAAGTGCTCTGCTAATCCTTTACACAGTTTATACAGCTGACATCCCAACCCAATCCAACACTGTCATCACCACCTATGCCGATGACACGTGTATCCTATCAGTTAATAACGATCCTTTAATTGCATCCCAAACTCTTCAATCACATATCACAAGCCTTGAAGAATGGTGTAAAAATTGGAGAATAAAAATAAATTCCAACAAATCCCATCAAATCACTTTTACCCTCCGTCGTAAACCTATGACCTCTTGTCCTACAGTATCCTTCAATAATACTCCACTTATTCCTGTTGAGCAAATCCGCTACTTAGGACTCCACCTTGACAAACGACTCACTTGGAACCCCCATACCAGACTGAAACGACTAGAAACCGCCCGACGTTTTCGACTACTGCAGCACTTACTAGACAAACGATCTAAGCTTTCAATCAATTATAAACGACTCGTATATATGACAATAATAAGACCTATTTGGACTTACGGAATTGAGCTTTGGGGCTCCACTAAACCATCGAATTCCTCTCGTATCCAATCCTTACAATCCAAAATCCTTCGTAAAATCCTCAACGCTCCTTACTTTGTCACAAATAAAATCATCCATAAAGACCTTAATGTTCCATATGTTTCCGATCTGGCCCAATGCAGATACCTTTCCTTCCATAACAAACTGCAGAATCATCCGAATCCTCTCGTTTCAAACCTTGCTTCCTCCTCGATCCCTGATAACCCTCCGAGGCGTCTGAAAAGAAGATGGCCTCGGGATCTTCTAGTATAGAACTTTAATTTGAGTTCTACCAATGGGTAGTTACTCTTCATGTTGTACATGCCATGTTACAAATTTCTCATTTACTTATTGTATTCTCTATGTAATACAGTTGTAAATTCCATTGAAATAATAAAAAAAAAAAAAAAGTGCTCTGCTGTAACCTGCATGGTCATTGGAAATGATGGGGAAAGTAATAAACTGTTAACTGTTTGAATTCTATTTAGATTTTTTATAAAAAATATTGATAATTAAAAATTGTATTTATTATTCTTCAAAACTACCCTACCATGTATGCTGATTTACTTTTTCCTTTAGGCTCTTCTGTATCTTGTCCGTATTTCTGAAGTTGAAGAAGTGGAAATCTTTAAAATATGCCTCGAGTACTGGAGCGCTCTTGCATCAGATCTGTACGAAGAATCTCCATTTTCTGCTCATTGTCCATTATATCACAATAAGTTTCCTACCAGCCATCCGAGGCGCCAATTTTATGCACCGATTCTTTCTCAGGTAACTATTCTGGTTTGTAATTTAATATAAAACCTTGATTTATATAATTAGTGGATAGTTGATTATTCTTAAGATCAGAGGCATTTAGTTTTTTTTCATCATCGATATTTAACTCTTGATTCACAATGCTTGCCTATTTTATAAGTTAAATTTTTTTATTTCTTAAATAAATATTTTTATTGGAATTTTATTGGTTTATTAATTTGAGTTTGTATTTTATTTCATTTTTTTAATGTATCCATCAGTATGCATAGTACTGTTAAAGTAAAGTGATTTTGTCTTTAAATATCTAGTGTTAAAACATTCTGAAAACTAGGACAAAATTGAATCTCTTAAATTAAAGATGAGTCAATCTCACTTGATATAGGTAAGATTTATGATGATCTTTATTTGAATAAAAATGAGCTTTAGTTGTACCTTTAAAACAGCATAATATTTGATAACCATGTAAATATGTTTATAAATGTTTACTTTTTTATTAAAATTAATTTTTCGTATTAGGTTCGTTATATACTTGTTTCGAGGATGGCTAAGCCAGAGGAAGTTTTAGTAGTTGAGAACGAAAATGGAGAGGTTGTTAGAGAGTTTATGAAGGATACTGATGCTATTAATCTCTACAAGAATATGCGAGAAACATTAGTTTACCTTACTCATCTGGATTATTCAGATACAGAAAGAATTATGACCGAAAAGCTTCAAAACCAAGTGAATGGGACCGAGTGGTCTTGGAAAAATCTCAACACTGTAATTATCTTACTTATTATTAAACTTGAAATTTTAATTCTTTTTTAAAATGGTTATTAAAAGTTATGAATGAATTGTAAAGTTGCTTAAATTTATGTTGAATTAGATTATTTTTGGTTTCAATCAATAAAATATTAATTATTTAATTCTATTTTCCAGTTGTGCTGGGCTATTGGAAGCATTTCTGGTGCAATGCATGAAGAAGATGAAAAAAGATTTCTTGTTACTGTTATTAAGGATCTGTTAGGGTTATGTGAACAAAAGAAAGGTATCATTTTTCTTTTCCAATACATTTAGTAGCAAACATTTTTTATACTGATGAATTTAGTCACATTGTTTGTCTTTTAAAAGAAAGGTAATATCGTCTTTATTGCCGATCCTTAAATTCGTTTTATAGCTTAAATGAAAGTTATTTAAAATAAAAGTGAACAAATGTTGTTAAATATTTTGAGGTCTATAGCAACACCCTCTATGGACATTTCTATGGGGACTTTATTAATTCTTTTTACTTTCACTTACCTATTCATGAAGTATGTTGTTAGGTTACGTTCCCTTGAAAAAGTAAACAAAACTGTTTCTTAACCAAATTATATTTATTTTACAGAACAATTATTTTTCAGGTTGGATTAATACAATAAATACACATTTCTCAATTATATATTATAAAAGAATACATTCATTTTATGTAACGTTTATGAATTTCCATTCATTTTGTTGGGTCGGGGCCTACTTATGGCGCACTTTCCAACTGTCACTATTTATATTTCTCTCACCCTGTTCTACAGTGAATCCTCTGTATTCTTGTATTCAATTTCTACAATCTTCTCTTCTTCCTTATTGACACTCACTACTTGTTGATCACTTTTTCTTCTCTCGATCCTCTTTAATAGCCGGCTCGTCACTTTCTGCCTAACATATGGCACTTGCTTCCACATCCATCTGTCTTTGTCCACTTTGACATCACTGCTTTCGCGCCACTATTTAAAATCACTATGTAATATTTACATTACAATATAGTAAGGGGCATTATTACGATCGTGAAAATTTTTGAATCTGAGTTAATACATGTTTTGTGATCTGAGTTCAAATATCCAAATCCCATAAAATGGTCTCTGTGTGTGTATTTATGTATGTGACCAGTCTAGCTCAAAAACGAAAACTCGTATGAAAGTGATATTGCATATTTAAGATTTGTATATGCCTGAGATGATACAGCAACTTTTTCATCAAAATCGGCTAACAGGAAGTGGCACTTGATATAATTGATGTTGAACATTTTTACAATTTTTTCAATAACGGCTCTATCGATTTTTATGAAACTCTGTCTATAAGTGTATTATTAAGCAGATTTTAATATAATGTAGGTTTTATTCTCATTGATATTCTCTAACAGGGCTTAAATGACTAATTTTCAATATTAGCTTCCTCTATAGTACCTTTAATTTTTTTTTATTTGAAATAATTAATCATTTCACATTAATCTTTGATATTTTTTTATTTATTTATTTAATCTTTATTTGTTTTGGGAGAAGAACACCAATTTAAATGTTAGGTATTTATTAATGTTTTTATTTCTTTTGTTAAAATTAATCTAAATCATCTTCATTAGTTTAAATTTTTACAATTTCACTTCTCGTTTACTGTTTAATGATTGAAAATGAAAACTTATTTCAAATAAGAATACTTTTACGATTAAAACATAAAATATTTAGAAAATAGAATAAGCATACATTATGATTATTACATAAACTCTGTTACATTTATTTATATTTTTATTAAATATCTTCTCTTTGCATTTTTTCTAATGATTTCTTATTTTGCAGGAAAAGATAACAAAGCAATCATCGCATCCAATATAATGTATGTTGTGGGGCAGTACCCAAGGTTTTTGAAGGCACATTGGAAGTTCCTCAAAACTGTTGTTAATAAACTTTTTGAATTTATGCATGGTAAGTTTTTCTTATACATTTTTGTGACCTACACCCCCAAAATTTCAAAATAACGAGATTATATTGGACAAACTGCCCAATATTTTTGTAGACTACATTTTTTATTGATTTTGTGATCAAATTATCTTACGATTCAAGTAGAAAGTAAATGTATATTTATGAGTTTTTAGTACCTAATTAAATAGACGCAGTTTCCCTCCTCTCCAGATTGAAAACATCCCAATTCCAAGAGTTTTCGTAAATATAATAGTTGTTGGTTATGATGAAACTATTTACAAAGTTTCAGGAGGATGTTAATAATTCGATAAAAAGGAGTCTGTACCACGGATTATAGTTCATACTGGCAAAGGAAATTCATTGAAAATTACTACTGTGTTGCGTTAAAAAAAAAAAAAAATCTACTTGATAATAAAATGCAATGTCTGATGAAGGATAGCAATGAAAATATTTTAAAATTAAGATTTACAATTTTTATAATGCTCTCATGAATGTTTTTCCTGATATAACTTCCCAATTAAGTATGTTATTAAAATATGGAACATCTAAAAGCCTCTTAAGAATAATTGAATTAAAATTCAGTCAGACATGGAAAATAAAACAACCATCAATCTTGTCTGGTTTTTCCTTTTTTCAGTATTTAATGTGTATGATCTGTAATTCTTAAACATTCGAATGTTACATTTATTTGCCATTAATTGTTGGGAGTTATCCGTCATGTTAAATATTATAATTCCGTCCATGTTGTATAAAAAAAGTTACTAATGTTAAATTCTTTACTAGAACTTAAGGTTTAATTTCTTTACTATTTTATCGAATTAAATGAATTTAAACAAGGACATTTTTGTTCTTAAAATCGTTAATTTAAATAAATATATGCTCATTTATTTATTCTTTATAGAAACTCACGAAGGTGTCCAAGATATGGCATGTGATACATTCATTAAAATATCTATGAAATGTAGGAGACATTTTGTGACAGTTCAAACCGGTGAAGTGATTCCATTTATTGAGGAAATTTTAGCAACCATCAGGACTATTATCTGTGATCTTCAAACTCAACAGGTATTTATTTTACTTTATTGTATTTATTATGTTTGTTATATTTATGAAGCGTTTTCCAGGATTTCGTAATGTAATGTTCTCTTCACCGCCGGATACAGCAATTTAGTTTCATCAAATTTAATTTTGTTGTGTTCATCAAGGAGTTTTTCTGCTCTTTTTGTTTGTTTTTTAATCATCTCCGAGAATATTTTAAAAGTGAGTTGTAAGTTGGAATTGCGCAGGATTGCCCAGAAGGAGGGAGGTTTCATGGCTCAAGTTGTCCCTTCGAACTTTGGAGGGCTGCACATTTTGGTGGAGTTTTGAATTTTTGATGGGGGTACATTTCGACAGAGCTATGAATTTTCAGAATTTAAAGGTTCAAATCAGGGGACAAGGGGAAAACATAGACGAGACCACATCAAGTGTAATTACGTTAGGGGGCGGGGTGGCCGAATGGGCTAACGCGTGTGCACTGCACCGCGAGTTTCCTGGCAACCGGATAAGAGATTTGAGAAGATTTAAAAGAAGTATGAGTTCGCATCCCGATGCCGGAGGGGATTTACATTCCCCGCGCTCGCCCTCCGGCCCAGGAAAATCCCGTATAGCCTAAAAGGCGAGGTAGGGAAGAACAAAAAAAAAAAAAAAAAAAAGTGTAATTATGTATCTGTGGCCCCTGTGAAGAATGTGTCAAGTGCAATTTTGTGAATTTTTATTGGTATTTCTAGAAAGCTATTTTTTTCTCTTTCTTTGTGTCTAATGGGCTAAGTTCTGCAGCTACTACAGAGATGAACATTCCTTTATAAGTCATGGGTTGGAACTGCAACATTGAAATTGGACCTGTAAAAATAAACTTTCAATTGCATTTTCCCACAAATACGATTTTTGCATATACACACTATGCACAGGTGATACAGTTATGATCTAAGATTTTTCTAATACTACTTCCGTGTGCACTTTTTTGAAAAAGAGGAGTGTAATGAAATTTCGTGGGGGATTTATGCGTCATCGAGCATAGGGAGGGAGGGGATGGCACCCCAGGAATGGTATATTTTAGACAAAGTTTTTTTTAAATTGAAACTTTTGATCTACTATTTACCAATTAGATTAAATAAAATTTTAAAATTAATGTTTTTGATAAATAGAAGACCTATTTATAAAATATTTTTCTTAAAAAAAAGTCAAACTAAGAAGTGAAAACAATCTTATACTTTCAGATTCAGATAAAATAGTTATTGTCTTATAATAATATAAATCCCAAGGAATTGGTGATATTTAATGAAATTCAGTAAAGGCAAATTAATATGTAATAACAAAAATATTTGAATTAAAAAAAGAAAACCAACTACAACAATTGGGAAATTCTATTGACCCTAAGGAATGTACTTCCATATATACTGAAATATCTTGGTAGATAGATAGAGAAATTGACATCTGCGATTATTTAAACTTGGTTTAATAGTCGGTTGCCTTTCACTGCACATTATGGCTGTGAGCAAATAGATTTCGTCAAATGTATCTGTGCAAGTCAACACTCGAGTCCTGAGTTTTATTCGGGCGTGTTAGGAACCCGATTACTGCACCAAGTTTAAATAATCTTATATATCAATTTCTCTATCAATCTAGCAAGATGTTTCAATAAATATGGAAGTATATTCCTTGCAGTGAATAGAATTTTCCAATTCTGTAGTTAGGTTTTTTTTTTTTTAATTCGTATATTTTTTTATTTTAAGATTTTATTTAGAATTTTAAATCAATTAATAATCGAGATACTTAAACTATAAAGTTTAAAAATGTTTTCAATATTTTGTGCTCATATTGTTTCAAAACATTCACGAGATCTCACTGAGTAAATACAGCTGTCAATGCTAGAAATTGTTCAAGCCATCCCCTCAAAAAATAGCTATGCACATTTTAGCGGATTGATTAAACACACTTTACACAGTAAGATTTCAGAATTTTGAGCTCAAATTCTTTCAAATACTCACACAGGATCTCGCCCAATAATTTAATATATTAAACTTGTAAATCGCTCTTGCTGCACGCTCAAAGAAGCGTTTTGTAGTTTTTAGTGGACAGCCCAAACATGTAACTCTTGTCGCGCTTCACTTAAATTCTTTTCAACTTCCTTCATTAAATAAAATATTTAAAATTAATTCTCTATTTGTCATTTTCATTAATGATTATTTGTTGAAATATATTTATATGTTTTTCTTTACAGATTCATACATTCTATGAAGCTGTTGGATATATGATTAATGCTCAAGCAAATCAAGTGGCTCAAGATACTCTAATAGAGAAATACATGAGTCTGCCAAATCAAGTTTGGGACGACATTATTTCTCAGGCTTCAAAGGTACTTATTTTTTATTTTTTTGTCTGATATCCCCATTAATCTGATAATCATTAACCCTCATTACATTAGTTAATACTTTTCAAGTTATATAAAAGATATAGTATAATGTATTATATTATATTTATGTGTGTGTATGTATATATATGTGCGTGTGTTTATATATGTGTATATATTTTTTTTTTTTATTTCTCAGTGGTTACATACTACTTTTTAAATAATGTATATTATGTTAGAATTTTTTTTAAGTTAGTTTTTGGCCAGATTGGTACTTTATTTTGTATTAATTCATCTTTGTTATTCTTGGGGGACTTAGTCCCAGAATAAAGTTCTATTTTCTATTCTATTCTATATTCTTAAATATATATATAATATATTGTTATACTTATATGTTCTTGTTACACTCATATTTTCTGTTATTAACATGATTTATGTTGTTGCATTCATATTTTCTTAAATAACTAATGTACTACTCGAGAAAAGTGACAGCAATTTAGTTTTAAAAATTGAAATTGAGATATTTTTGATTTAAGGGAGCGGGTTAGCTCAGTGGTAGGGCACTGAGCTTCCAATGCAAAGGTCCCGAGTTCGAACCTCGGCTCATGGCAGAAAATTTATTTATCTGTTTCATTGGCCGTGGGGAGATCCTGGGTCAGGGGTCCCTCCTGGGGCACACCCAGCCTCTATAAAGTGGGTACCCTAAATTAAATAATTGATTAAGGGGGAAAACCTGGCGGTTGAGCGTGATCTCGGTCAAATCACCTCCTTGCACAACCGTTGACCTAGAAACAGTGCTTTCCCTAAATAGTACTGAACCCCAGACCCTTCATGGGTTGTAGTGGTACAGGTTTTTATTTTTTTTTATTTTTATTTTATTTTTTTTTTTAAGTAACTTTTACTCTGTGGAGGTCTCTTTCTCGTTTAGAAAGGGATTGATTATTTTTTGTAATTATAGCATTTCCAAGCCAATGGTAACCTTTCTTTTTCAAATGTAACCTTTTCCATTTCAAATGTAACCCTTTTAAGGTTAGATTTAAATTGAAAAGGGTTACGTTTGATATAGAAAAGATTATATCTATTAATGCATTTGGATTTAGGAAAAGATACATTTCAAATGGAAACAGTTACAATTGGCTCGGTAATGGTATATTATATAGGTTTTGCAACTAAGTAATTGTAGATTTTTGGTTTGTAAATATAACCAAGTTATTTCAAACTCTTTTTAATGTACATACATGATATATCTAGCTTCTTTGCAATCTCAGAAGTAGAGCTTTTGACGATTTTGTTTGATAACCTATTAGATTTAGATTACTTTAACTATTTAACTTTGTTTGGTCGACCAGAACATTGTTCACCTTCAATGAAAAATCTCCCACATGAAATTTTGCAACACAATTTTGACACTACCTTAAAGGTTTTGTCACCATACAAAGCACATAACTTTTTTTGTGCTAGTGAAACATTTTTTCCTTTACGAGAATAAAAAAGGAGAATGTGCCGAAAATGCGCACATTAAGCTTCTATTTCAAACAGAATTGGAATACTAAACCAAACATTGATCCATAAAAATATTTACACGGAATTATAAAGGAGGTATTAAAAGGTTAAATAACAATAAGGAGATCAAATTTTCTTTAAGTTTAAAAATATAACATTATTAAAGTCACCTACTTGTAATTCTACAATTCATTAGTTGCCGATCCTATAGTATAGTTTGCCACTAGCCTAGATCCAGGATTTAATTTTGGGGGGGGGCTTCAGCCTGGAAGCATTTTTTTCATATATAAAACGATAATTACTTTAGAAAAACAGAAATTTAGAAATTATATAAAATACTAACTATATAAAATGGTGTTTAAGTGATTCTTTAAGTCCTATTAAATGTAATTGAACGAGCAATAATACTTTAACATAATTTTTTACCATAAAACATGATTACATTTTACCATTTTGGGGGAGGCTTCAGCCCGAAAGCCCCCTCCCCCGTAAATCCGCCTGTTAGTTTGCTTAAGGTGAAGGAAGGGATGTATATTTATAAAATTCTTAAGATTTTTTTTGGTGAACTAATCATAAAAATGACAATGTACGGTTAACGAATGTTAATACCTATTGATTTAATTGTAAGCTCCTCTAATTTTATTTTGTACCAATTTTTACCTGTTAATTTTATGTAAAAAAAAAAAAATAGTAATTATCAGAAGCTTGACATATTTACAGTGTTACAGTTATACGAACATTTCATTTATTCAAATGGAATAAAAACATTGTTGACATTCTTCTCTAATCTTCTCTGTATAGATTCTAAATATTTTTGCTGTTTAATACTGACACTTTAATCAGTATTAATTAATGTTTATTTTTTTATTGTTTATTTTTAGTATGTATAGTGAGTGATGTTTATTTTTAGTTTGTATAGTGATTTAATTCCAAGTATATATTTATCATAACTATGTTTTATCACTTATTTTTAATTTTAGAATGTTGATGTCTTAAAAGACCCTGATGTGGTTAAGCAACTTGTGAGTATTTTGAAAACAAATGTCAGAGCTTGTAAGGCCTTGGGACACCCGTATGTTGTACAGGTAATGAATCATATTTATCATTTTTGTCTCAAATTTAAGGTAACAATAGTTGTCTCTAGCCGTCCTAGTTTATTTAAACATAAATAATCATCTTTAAATGTATAATTGTGACATAACTATATATGTATATTTTAACTACATAACTATAGCCTTGGATCTCTCTGTACAAAGTGAGGTTTGTAAGTGCATATATAGGCAGATAGAACAATAAAAATAAATAATAAAGTTAGTTGTTTTAAATCTGAAGCTGCTTGAAAGACAATACATTTTATATAAAGCTCTAAAAATGGCCTTTTAATCTTCTTTTATTTCTAAAAATTAATTGTAATTGCTTTTAGTACATAAGGGTAAATGATTACAATCTTCTTGTGTACCAGGAAAACTAATAGATTTTATAACTAGTGACTATAAAGCCATGACTATGACCATCTCTTCTTACTAAATTTTACTAGGCACAATCTTACTAAATTTTATGGTAAATCAAAATTACTGGTTCTCAACAGGGGTGAAAGGTGTTTAGTAGTAATGCCTTAGTTTAAATTAATTGATTAAAGAGAATGAACATAAGATTAATTTAATAAAAAAAATGTCTTCCTGTATATTCCTTTTTGTATTGTGTTTCAGTTAGGAAGGATTTATTTAGATATGCTGAATGTTTATAAAGTAATGAGTGGTAATATAACGGCTGCTATCACTGCCAACGGAGAAGTTGTCACCAAACAGCCGCTTATTAAAAGTATGAGAGTTGTGAAAAAAGAAACTTTAAAGCTGATATCTGATTGGATAAGCCGCACGAATGATCACGCTATGGTGAATAAAAGATTTTCATAACTTGTTTTTTCTTATTTCTTTGGATATTATTAATTTCATGTTTTTTACAATTCTATTTTTTTCCTTTTGCTATAGGTTTTAGAAAACTTCATTCCTCACCTATTGGATGCCGTCCTTTTGGATTACAATCATTGTAGCGTGGCCTCGGCGAGGGAACCGGAAGTGCTTTCGGGTATGGCTACAATAGTCAATAAGCTTCAAGCCCATATCACCCCAGAGGTCCCAAAAATTTTTGATGCAGTTTTTGAATGCACATTGAATATGATCAACAAAAATTTTGAGGAATATCCTGAGCATAGAACCAACTTCTTTTTGTTGCTTCAGGCAGTTAATAGTTATTGTTTCCCCGCATTTTTAAATATCCCATCTGCCCAGTTCAAATTTGTCTTGGATTCAATTGTTTGGGCTTTCAAACATACTATGAGAAACGTAGCTGAGACAGGTCTTCAGGTAAGTGTTTAATTTTAGGACTTAATTTTTAACTTTCCCATTTAGCGAGTCATTATGAATGTTATTAATGAATTTATTATGTTATTAATGAGTTATTATATATTTAATAAGTGATAATGGATGAATTTATAATATTATTAATGAGTAATTTTGTTTAGGAATTTATTGTATAAATATTAAATTGTATATTAATGAATTACATTTTGTAAAACATCACAGGTAGCTCAACATGTAAATGCTATATATTGATTTATAATAAATGTCTTAAAAATAATTTTTGGGTTCTTGTTTTAGATTCTTCATCAGCTGCTGCTCAATGTGGAACACCATGAACAAGCAGCGCAAAGCTTTTATGCAACATATTTCACAGATATTCTTCAGCATGTTTTATCTGTTGTTACCGACACTTCACATACTGCAAGTAAGTTTTTTTTTCTCCCATAATTCTGGAAGGTTTGGTAGAACCAAGGTGCAACTAAAATATCTCTCTATGAAGATTGAATTAGAATTCCAGGATAAAAATTTAAAAAAATGAATAATAACTGAAAGCAAGTAAACAATTTGTCAGGCAGTTCTTTTATTGTTTTTATATGTTAATATTTATATATTTTAATAAAACTCAATTGCTCATTTCATATAAAATGATTATCCAGTTTTATAATTCTTACTATTATAAGTATTGTGCTGTTAACAACAGTTTAAGTGTTGTAATAGAGAGAAAAGTCTGGTGGGTCATTTTAATATTAATATTCACATTTTCTTTAAAATCTTATATTAATTAATTGAAACTAATTTTGATGTTCACTTAAAGTGAGATCGTTGCTTAGATTCATATTACATTCCTTACCCAGGTACTTTTTTATTTCCTTAATAATAACTTGAATAAAATTTTATATCAAAAGATGGACTGGGTCAGTTGGTTAATATAATTCCGGGTGGTTATCTGTGCACTCAACAGAAGTTATAAGAGTTAAAAAAAATTATACCATTTGGTCATGGAATATAGTACATTGAGAGGAAGGGAGATGTAATTTATTCAACCAATAAATAAAAAAAGATCCTCCCAAAAAAAAGGATTTTACTGCAGCAAAACTTCATTTTCACAAACTGAGATACAACGAACTCCTCATTAAAACGAACAAAAATCTAAACCGCTAGAAAAATACATTGATTTTCCTGTAATGCCTTAATTTTCACGAACTAAATCTGTTAGTATGTAGTATGAACTGTGAACTCTGATCTCTGGTTCTTGTAGATAAATAACATTGTTGCAATGGACTGGAATGGCAAGATTTAAAGTAACCTTCTGTCCCTCATTGCTATGTCAGAGTTTGCGAGGGCCTTAGATTGCAATTGCTTCCCGAGAAGTACACTCTTCAAATAACTTCATTTGACCTCAATAAAAAATAATATTAATATAATTAATTGCAGGAGGCTAGTAAATGCATTAATAAATATAATGTAATACATATTTGGTTAAAAAAGAAAGAAAAATAATTACACAGTTATTATATTTGTTTTTATTTTAATATTAGGAACTTTGTTTTAATGAACTAAAGATGCCCTGGTCCCTTTGAATTCGTTATAACAAGGATTTACTGTATTTTTAAATTTGTGTATGTTATTTTTCTATCTCATTAATGTCTTATTAGTGCTCTGAATAAATATTTCTTTTATAAATAAATAAATATTTTTTTTTGTTTATTTTTTGGTATTTAAAAAAAATATAATGGTGTTAGTTAAATATTTTAAATGAGTTAACAGTCCATACTACTTACTAACAGATTTAGTTCGTGAAAATGAAGGCATTATAGAAAAATCAATGTATTTTTCTAGTGGTTTAGATTTTTGTTCGTTTTAATGAGGAGTTCGTTGTATCTCAGTTCGTGAAAATGAAGTTTTACTGCAGTAAAATCCTTTTTTTGGGAGGATCTTTTTTTATTTATTGGTTGAATAAATTACATCTCCCTTCCTCTCAATGTACTACATTCCATGACCAAATGGTATAATTTTTTTTTAACTCTTACAACTTCTGTTGAGTGCACAGATAACCACCTAAAATTATATTAACCAACTGACCCAGTCTATCTTTTGATATAAAATTTTATTCAATTTATCATTAAGGAAATAAAAAAGTACCTGGGTAAGGAACGTAATATGAATCTAAGCAATGATCTCACTTTAAGTGAACATCAAAATTAGTTTCAATTAATTAATATAAGATTTTAAAGAAAATGTGAATATTAATATTAAAATGAGCCACCAGACTTTTCTCTCTATTACAACACCCAAACTGTTGTTAACAGCACAATACTAATAATGGTAAGAATTATAAAACTGGATAATCATTTTATATGAAATGAGCAATTGAGTTTTATTAAAATATATAAATATTAACACATTAAAACAATTAAAGGACTGCTTGACAAATTGTTTACTTGCTTTCAGTTATTATTCATTTTTTAAATTTTTATCCTGGAATTCTTATAATCTAAGAACTTAAAAAATATTTATTAACAGACTGCCAGTCCCCATACTGCCTTCTGCAGTGCCAGATAGAATACCCTGAAGAAGACCTACAACGTAGGTTGGTCGTTGGACATTGCAATAAATATACTTTTATATTATATAGTATTTTATGTATTGACTGCACCCCTGACTAACTTGTTATAAAATTTATTAACAAAAAGTCAATACAAGTTAAAATAAAATAAGGTTTTATTTATATTGTTAGATTTATTCCTTTGCTATAATTAAAACATTGTTTTCAGATCTCACCTGGCATGCACAAATATTATCATATATGTTCAAATTAGTTGAAACGAGTCCTTATGGAGTACCGCTTGGCCAACCTGGGCCGCAGAATATTACTTTTGTCCAAGAGTATGTAGCATCCATTTTGAAATCAGCGTTTCCCCACCTGTCTGATAATCAGATTAAAATAACTGTTCAGGGTATGTTTAATCTTGAACATGACCTACCAGCTTTCAAAGAACATCTAAGAGACTTCCTGGTTCAAATAAGGGTATGCTTATTTTTTTTCTTGCATGTATCATCTATAATATTTTTATCATTTCAATGTATTAACCTCTAATTATTATTTATATTTGTTGGCTTTAAGCACGTCGACCCCTACTGGGTCCATTGTGCGCCAATTTCAGTAAGTTGTTTTGTTTAAAACGTTAGTCCTGTCGCTTCCGCGTATCTAAGTAGGTTGGTTGGATTGACCGACTCATATCTTCTGGGGAGATCCATCTGTTCCTCCCCAAATACCACCAGTCTCAGCCTTATAAACCTGTCACATCTGCATATGATGTGAAAAGCTGTTTCATTCTCCTCCTGACAGAATCTGCATAGCGGATTCGTCATTACTCGGAGATTGAACATATGATTATTTAACTTACAGTGACCTGTATAGATAGCTGTAAGTTTTTTAAGGCTGCTCTGTCCATGTTCAGTAGCTGTTTACTTCTTTTTTTACATGGCCTTCAAGGAACAGCTTCGAATGTCTCTGTTTCTTGTCGGTCCAGTAATTACTAAATTTGTTCCCATAGATCTCCCTGATCCTGCCCTTGGCAACACTGAGGCTGATTCCACAGACAGGCTCGGGAGTTACAGGAATGGTATCTGAGCCCAATCTGGCTTGCTCATCAGCCACCTCGTTGCCTGGTATGCCAGAGTGACCTGGCACCCACTCCACTGCAACTCTGTTGTGCTCAGTTAGCTCGTTAAGTGCTCTATTGCATTCCTTAACGACCTTTGAATAAACATAGTAGTTGTCGAGAGCACCTATTGCTGCCTGACTGTCAGTATAGATGGTAATCTTTTTCTCAGTCACATTGGTTTGCAGTAGGTTTTGTGCACAGTGGCAGATTGCCAGTATCTCAGATTGAAACACTGAAGCATACCTGCCAAGTGGTATAGAAATTTTTTCTTTTATATCTTTGCGATAGATGCCTGCTCCAGAGCCGAAGGCTGTTAGAGAGCCATCTGTATAGCAATTTATTCCACTATTTGGTTTATGACTTCTGCTGCTATCTATCTCAACCTTATATTTTCGGTCCTGATATTCTCGGATTAGAGTGTCAGAGTGCATAGCTAGTACTCTTCACTTCCAATCCTGTTCAGCAGTATTGTGTGTCCTCCCTGACAGGGGACTGTTGAACAGTAAGTTGACTTGCTTATCCTGTACAATGTATTGTTGCCCGAGAGTCCACCTCCAGCTGCAGCGGAGGCATGCCAGCATCACCTCCATAGCAGCCGTCGTGTCGTGCTCATCGCGCCTGTTATCATTATACAAGCAAGCCTTTGAGTCTTTCCTAATAAGGATAAGTTGGCCACAGTCTTTGCTTTGTGCCACCATAGCAAAGCTGAGTAAAGTATGATAGGTCTGACTGTCGTTGTGTACAGCCAGTATACCATTTTTGGTTTTAGTCCCCAATTCTTTCCTATCGCTCTTTTACAGGCCCATAGGCATTTGAGGGCTTTACTTGTCACGTTTTGAACGTGTTTAGTCCATGTCAGTTTATGGTCCAAAGTGACTCCAAGGTGTTTTACTTCCTTACTCAATGTCACTTGGATACCATTGATTTCCGTCATTTTTATAGCTACCTTCTTCTTCTTAGTGAAGATACACACATTGATTTTCCTAGGGTTGATGCTTAGTCCTTTAATCCTGCACCAATTCCTAAGAATATTAAACACTGTACTGAGGATATCAGAGAAGACACTCCGATGCCTCCCTCCTCTAACCCTCTAATTATCGATATAGTAACCAAAATTTACTATATTTAAATTTTTGAGAATTAAGGATTGTTACAGTATATTGTTTGCTGAACTATTAATAGTTATAGTTACATATTTGTAATCTATTAGATTAATGAAATTGTCTGAAGATATATATTTTTATATGGCTGTTTATTTCAAAGGAGTATACTGGGGAAGATGATTCTGACCTCTTCTTAGATGAAAGAGAAGCTGAATTGAGAAGGGCCCAAGAGGAAAAGAGGAGAGCTCAATTATTAGTTCCCGGTATTATTAATCCTCACGATTTACCTGAAGAAATGCAGGATTGAAGGTAACATTAGTTTTCAGTTTTATTATTATTTTAGTTTGTTTGATTTTTGCACAGAGATAACTTATAGGTTTAAACCCCAATTTTCATCATTTCCAAGGAAACAATAGCTTTGTCCCGCTTTAAATTCTGTGAGTATTTGGTTCAAATTAATTTTTATGTCTATTTAATCCTTCATACAGTAATGAATCAGCTGCAGAAAAAAGATAATCACAGTAAAAGCTCTCTTTGTTGTTCCGTCGCGTAATTCCTTTACACTTCTGTATCCTGAGCAAAAGCTTTCCTCGTTATCATGAACAGTTATTATAGTGAAGAATATCTTTCTACAAACATTCTTTTATATTGCAGAACATGTATGAGGTCTCAAGAGTTTCCAACCTAACAAAAATACAAGACATTTTTTCTGAATTTTTTTCAACATAGTCTCCTTGTAACTCTACTCATTTCCTCACTTCTCCCAGCGATGATCACATCTCTGTAACCCATCCAAAAAGTACTCAGTGTTTTTCTCTGCAAAATAATTGTTCACAAAGGTGATAGTCTCTTCATTTGACGGAAATCTCTGTCCTCCGAACGCAATTTTTAGATAATGGAACAAAAAGAAGTCACTTGGTGAGTAAGGCGGATGGTCAAGCAGTTCAAACCGTAATTCGTGGATTTTGGCCGTGACATCTGCTGAAGTGTGAGATGGTGAGCACCGTTGTCTAGGCGAAACAGGATTTTCTTTTTCTGCAAATGTAGCCGTTTTTCCGCAAGTTCTGTGTTCAGCTTGTTAAGTAATGATGCCTAGTATGCTCCTGTAATGGTTTTTCCTTTTTGAATATAGTCGATTAAAATAACTCCATGACTATCCCAAAAAAACAGTCACCATCACTTATATCAAATGATGGTGTAGAGTCCCCATAAACAGAATCCAACTTACCTTTGATTTGCGTAGACATATTGCCTTTCAAAAACATATATTTAATGACAGCTCGATACTTAATTTTGTCCATTTTCACAAAAACACTCATATCAACTCACTCAAACGACTGTTACATAAAAACTGTGCATCCAAAATGGCTGAAACTTTAATGGGTAACTGTCAACAGATGAACAATAAAATTCACTTGCTTTTATTTATGAGTGCTACCATTTTCATGTTGCGGCCGGAAACTTTTCAGACCACCCTCGTAAATATATTGGCACTTCCAGTGGCAACAAATTCAAATGTCCACTACGAAACATCTGGATTCTGATTAAAAAAGTTCTTCAGTCAAAATTTTCTAGGCCTTCCGCCTTCAGTTTATTATCTATCAGAGTTTTTACCAAATCCTCTATACATTCAGCAGATCTAGTCTTCTTTTCAGAAACACATCTTTCTTCTTTTGCAGTGAGGAAGTTGGAGGAAGCTGTTATGAGTTTTACTAAATCATTTATGCTCAAAAAGCCATTTTTAATGCATTTGTAACATCTTTTTCAGTGAAGTTTTTATTATATTATGCTAATTTAACTAATTGTTTTTTTATCCATAAGATTTCTTAGTTATTCCTTTTTGGCTGTTGCTTTTTTACCTCCATTCGCAGCAATATCGATATATAAACAAAAAAACGTAGAATGACTAGGCTGACAGTGTGGTACGCTTTGAAATTTTATGAACTCGCTGAAGTTATGAGGCAAGCAAATGGTATGTTCTTTAATGCTCTTCTTTCTTATTTTTATGGCTAATTAAAAAAATATCTATATTGACTTAAGCGAAGTGGCTTCTGAATTCTCCATGGTATTTAAATTTTGAGATATCTTAGTTCAAATTTTCAAAACAGTCATTATTATTTGGTTTTTGGCGCTATATTTTTCCCTCTCTGGCTCTCTTAATCGCCATCACGTCAAAATACAATTTTAAATAATAGCTCATTACAAAAAGGATGAAATGCTGAAAATTTTCCTAGCTTACAGTATGCAGGTCTGATTTTAAGTTTGTGAGGTATTTTATTCCAAATGCAAAAATCTGGTTCATGCAACTGATAACTTTCACTTACCGCTCAAGCTTGAATAGAAATTATTTTCTGGCCATGTTGTGCTATTATAAAATTTTTGAATTGCATTTTTAACCGAGCTAAAGCTAAATGCTTACAGCTAAGAAATCATAAATACCATTAAAATAACAAAAGTCCTATTTATTATATCACCAGTTATACTGTGTTGCACGATCCGTTGGTTATGGATTATACGGCTATTAGTTATTAAACTATTATTTTCCATTGCAAAAATTACTAAAATGGAATTAAGAGATTTGCATTGTCTGTCATAAACAGGTCAAAAGTTGATTGGAAGTGAATACTGTTGAAATATCACACAGGGAAAATTCATCAAATTATTTACTAATTTAATTTTTTAAAAGGTTACGTGATGATGACTTTTCGGAATAAACTGATGATATATACCTAATTATTCAAATATAGTATCGGATCTAGAAACAAACTACAGTAAATGTATTTAAGGTTATAAATATATCCATGAAATATTTTTATATTTCACTTCTTCTTTCACGCAAGTACACTGAAATAGTATCTTAAACACTGTCAATGCCTTGAATCCATGGGTTTTAAATACTTTTTCAAACTTCTTCTTCTTTTACATCACCCTGTAGTGCCTTTCAGCGTAGGGGAGTGTCTAACCAGGATCGCCAATTTTCCCTGATTCTTGCAAGATTTCTGACTTGGCGTATATTCTTCTTTCTGTTTTTGCACAAGCGGTCTACGTATTCGAGGTACGACATTCTCGGTCTGCCGTAGTCCATAGACTTTAATGGACCCCTGTGTTCTTCCATCCTGATGACATGTCCAAACCACTTAAGCTGCCGAGTCTTTAGGACATCCTTCATCGGAGGAACCCCCAATTCCTCCCTGATTCTCTCGTTGAGAGTTTCAAACTAAAAAAAAAATGTTAAAAGTTTACATTTAGTAAGAAAATTTCATTTAATTTCCTTGAAAACATGTGATTTATGTTAAATAATGTTAGTTTTTTAAAATTTTTATTTATATTTTTTTCGCCACTCTCCGTTACCTTCTACAATTATATTAGATATTGTTTTTTTTTAATTCTCTGCTTTCCAACGATATATTATACTTATACCTTCTGACTATTATTTCCGGATATTCATTTCCTGTCCGGATATATATATACTTTTCTTTTTTTATCCCTCATTCAATTATAAAATTTTTTCAAAAATTATGTTTAGCATTTTTTCATAACGGCTAACAATGAGAAATAGTCATTATTTATTATAAACCAAATTAAAGGTACTTTAGAGGAAGACATTTATGAACATTGGGAATTTTTTAAGCCCTGTAAAGTGTCATCAATGGGGGTAAGACCTGATTGATATTAAAGACCACTTAATTATATAATGATACACCAAGTTTAATCAAAACCGTTAGTGCTGTTTTTGAGAAAATTGTAAAACTGTGTTTCAGCGTTGATATAAAGTGGCACTTCCGGTCAGCTGATTTTAAGGGAACAGTTACTGTCACATCTAAGGCATATACCTATCTTAAATACGTAATATCAGTTTCGTACGACGTTTCATTTTTGAGCTAGACTGCTAACATACACACCAGACATGCAGACCATTTTGTGGGACTTGGTTATTTGGACGCAGGGTACCTCAAAACGTGTAATTCTGTTGAAAACTTAGATTCGAAAATTATTACGATCGCAATACTTTTCCTAACTATATATTACCTATATAGGTAAGTGAAAGTAAAATTTAATCGACTTGAGCCGACTTTACCAGAATGAGCATTACATAGTTGAGCGTTACAGCTCATTCCCATTTAATACCCACCAAAAAAAATGCTTGGTGCGCCTAAAGAAGTATTCACTTCATAAAATTCAAATTTTAGGCTGTTTTTAACTTGTATACTAACGGTAATATGTATAGAATTATATGAAAATGTTAAATAATAAAAATAAATATAGTATTAAATAATAATAAAAATAAAAATATCAGTTTATATCTTGCAATTTCTTATGAAGTAAATTATGTTTCTCACTGAAAATCTAAGACAAGCCCTTTTTGATTTACACCTATTTGATTATAACTTCAAGTTAAAACAAGATAAATGGTGAAATATGTTAAGATATGTTTGCGCAGGAAGGAATCACGCTTCGAAAGAACCAACTTTATTTAAATAGCCAACAATGGAAGCCGAAAACCGATAAGGGGTTGCTGAAATCTTGGGATTTTACCTAATTATCCCAAAATATAATAGTACAAAATAAATTCAATTTTTATTTTTAATAATTGCTTGCTATTAAAAAAGACTCCTGATAAAGAAATTTAGAGGATCTACTATCATTATAACCTTATTATTATTACCTAGACTAACTTTTAAAACTGATGATTTCAACAGAACTATCTTCCATACATTTAATTCTTTCCACATTCTGATTTTTGTGGACATAAAATTAAAGAGCTTTCTTCATTAAAAGCCAAAAGAGATATTTTAATTAATTAAGGCAATTAGATTACTTCCATTCTTAAATTTCAAATTTGTTTGATTGATACAAACAGATACGATGAATAATCATAACAATCATTGATAACTGTATTTTTTTTTTGTAGGAATTAAAAGAAAATTTCTGATGATAAGACTCAGCTAAAAGGAGAGAGAATTCTGAAGATAATGCGGCCGATAGCATGTCATTACCTCTAGAATCATATCTTGTTGATATTTATTTGTCCGTTATTCATTCCAACAGTTGAATAATATAAAATAACAGAGATTATCCTTTGAGACTGTTTTTACACTTGTGTTAAATGCGTTAATGAATTATGTATGTGAAAAATGAAGTTTTATATATGTGTATGTGTAAATGCATATATATAAATAGTGTTTGTTAATATAAATACATATATATTTATATTTTTATCCTTATGAAGTATTTCTTCGGCTGTCACCGTATTGTCAGTTATGTTTAGGTTCCTATGTTTGAGTTTTTATATATATATAGTTATGA